TTAACTCATTATTCTAATGATATGAGCATTATTAAAATCATTATAGGAGTATTTGTGTGGTGAGAGATCGTAAAAAAATTGGTTAAAGGCTGGTGAAGTTTAGAAGTTGTTCACATAAAGGTGAAGTTCAATAATGCGCCAAACGATGCTTATTTAAGAAACAAATCTTGCCCAGATGAATTTTAAAAGTTGTTCAAGTCACACTATAAAAAAAACTGAAAACTACAACGATTTTTTTGTAGCAGTTACAATAAACTGCTATAGTTTTCAGTAACAACTTTGTCTATAGTATTTGGAGAAATAATTCTCACTCTGTAGCATTTGGAGAATTTTTTTACTATTTGTAGCCTATTAATAAAAATTTCCAATTTGTTAAACATATTTTATATCTCTTATGTAATAATTTTTTTATGATTTATCATTGAAATTGATAATTTTTTAAATTTTTAATTCCTTTTATATTTTTAAATTTTAAATTTATGTATTTATTATGTGCAAATCAAGTATAATGCAAGGTAAAGGCTCCAAAGTTAAATAAAAGATTAATATAATATTTGGTCCATCAAGTTCGTTTTTATTTTAGTTTGGGTTTCTCAAATTTTAAATCATAGGTTTTGATCCCTCAAGAGGCAAAATGGTCCAAATTTTTATTGGATTATAGGGACCGATATTTTAAATGAAATGAAACTTGAAGGACCAAAACTTATGGTTTGAAACTTGATGGACCAAAATCAAAATAAAAACAAACTTGGCGGGCTAAAAATTATATTAACTGTTAAATAAATTAGTATATAGCATTTTTAAATTACTAAAATTATCCTTAAATTTAGCATTAAAATAACATTTACTTCTGCTGAGTACTAAACTAACCAAATATTGTGACAAGTGACCACAATAGAAGTCACAAAACTTTTCTAACACTTAACCAAGCATCCCCATAATGTTTTTAATTCCTTTTTAAGAGTTCTATCACATATCTTCTTTTTCATAAAAAGGAAAATGATATTAATAAAAGGCAAGCATTATAGAATCTTAATTAAAAAAGGGTAACAAGAAAATACTCTAGTTACCTTGTAAATCAGAAAATAAATCAACTTATTAAAATTGAAAAGTATTATGTCAACTTCTTTGTAATGAAAATAAATTTTGTCTGAGGATGAAGGTGCAGCAAGCCTAAAGCCTCTGGTTGCTTTGTAACATTGATGCTTTATAACATGAAGTAGCTTTCACCTCCTTGATCTTAAAGTTAACCCTCTTGAACATTCATTTTAATGAATCATTCTTGAAATAAGTGGGAACTTTGTTGAAACCTTAGACATCAGGTCATGGTTGGGACTTTGATGCTGTCAACTTACTTATACTGGAAATAAGTTGTATATGAATTTCAATCAAGATTTTTTTTTTTTAAAAAAAGGGTTAATATAAATTTTGATCCCTCAAATTTGGGCCCATTTGGTATTGGTCCCTGAAATTTAAAACCCATGGTATTGATCCTTTAAATTGTATCCGTTTCTGGTCGTTAGTCCCTGGTAGCTTTAAGCCGTCAAAATCATCTGAGTTGGCACTAACTCTGTTAACCTGTGATGTGGCATCTAACTTAAAAGAATGAGGTGGACAATAATTTGATAATGTGGCTTGCTGACATGTACATATAAACAATGGGGAAAAAAAAGTGCCAGAGAACTATGATGTGTCCGTCGCTAGAGGAACGTGATTTATCAACTGCAGTCGAGGGAAGAAACAGTAACAGTAGTTTTGGTGAGTTTTGCTGGTTGAAAGGTGAGAATCTATCGTATATGTTAATGCATTCTGGTAGTAACTCATTCAATGTGAGAAAACAAAGGTTATTTTCGCCAAGTTATGACAACATCAAACAACTTAATAGATAAAGATCAAATGCACCACAACTCTCAAATATATAGCAATCAAACAAAAAATTAACAAAAACAAACATGCAGAGCTCACCGAAATGATTAAGCTTGTTATCTGATCATGAGTCTGAGGAAATTGTTGAAGGGGAAAGGTCAAGTGATGAAGAAGAAACTGATCGAATATATGAAGAAGAAAGACCAAAGACTAGTTCTCAAATATGTATTTGAAAAGGCCAATTCTCAAATATGTATCCGAGAAGCCTAGTTCTCTAATATATATTCAAGAAAAACTAATACGTCTTTCTTCATCTTCTTTAACTCCTCCAATATTGGATTCTCAACCGTGCATTAATCTAATCAAAATAATTACATGACCATTGCTCCTAAAAGCCAAGCAAATCTAGAAGCCATTAAACAAAAACAAAAATTCATCAATCCAGAAACTCAATCAAATTTGACAGGAAAAAATTATCAGCCACTAACCTTATAATTTGGTTACTTAAGAAATCTTCTACCATAATTTTGTTCAGTCCATGAAGTGAAAACTACAACATCATCCCCACATTTGCATTTTTCAGATCCCCATTTTGCCATCTGTTTACCCATGGCGGACAACGATGAATTCCTACTAGAAGCGATTCCACCTCACTACAGCCTACATTGAATCCAATGTTGAAGATAAGTAGAAGATGGCATAGGAGAGATGTTGCAGAAAATTAAAAACTTATACCAACAACTTACTAAATACCAATAGCCCTTTGTTGCAATTGCCAGATCTTCATTACCTTCAAGAAATGAGAACAGAGCATACTTGAACACACAGCACGCAAGAATGGCAACATCAAATGACTTAATGGGTAAAGATCAAATGCACCACACCTCTCAAATATACAACAATCAAATAAAAAATTAACAAAAACAAAGATGCAGGGCTCGCCGAAACACTATTACAACTTTAACAAGCATAACTCGGCAAAAATCAACCTTTGTTCTCTCACATTGCATGAGTTACTACCAGAATGCATAAACATATACAATAGATTCACATCTTTCAACCAGCAAAACTCACCAAAATTACTCTTACCATTTCTTCCCTCGACTGTCGTGGATAAATCACATTCCTTCAGCGACAGACACGTCACAGTTCTCTAGCGCTTTTTTTGTCCCATTGTTTATATGTATATGTCAGAAAGCCACATTATCAAACTATTGTCCACCTCATCCTTTTAAGTCAGATGCTACATCATAGGTTAACGAAGTTAGTGCCAACTTAGAAGATTTTGACGGCCTAAAGCTACTAAAGACCTATGGCCAGAAACGAATACAATTTGAGGGACCAATACCATGGGTTTTAAATTTCAGGGACTAACACCAAAATGGGCCCAAATTTGAGGGACCAAAATATATATTAACCAAAAATAATTGATTTTTTATTTTCATAATTTTGTATTAAAAAGGAAGATGTAGCCAAATTATATTGGACTTTTAAGGAATTGAATTCATTAGATCATTTAGTTTTAGTATTTCCATATAACAGTTAATTGTTCATTAGATTAAAAATAAGATCTAAAACTCTATAATTATAACCAAATACGATGTTGCCTTCACATTACTCTATCTACTTTTTTTTTTTTTCAATATCCATGTATGAATTATTAAAACACATGGCTTCCCCATTAACTATAAACTAAGATTAATCTCAAAATTTCAAAGAGATTTAACTTATTTATTATTATATAAATAACCAAGATTAAAACCAAGCTTATTAAAATTTAAAAGTATAGCCATCCACTTACTTAGTTTATATGTGCATTAATTATAACTATCTCCTTATTTGTAATGGACTAAGCCCTCTTTTGTCACAAAAAAAAAAATCTAATATATAACTAATGTATTTTAATAACTTTCATAATTTCATAATGACATATTAATCTAAATTCCATTTATCTGTAACTTTCAGAATAATTGAAAGAGTCTACCACATGGGATGACTAGGTGATGATTCAAGGTGAATTATATATGGTAAGAATTAACTTATTAAACGAGAAAGTATTGGAGACTGAGTTTTAATTGAGTTAAAAATTCAAGGGCTGAGTTATAATTAAGTTAAAAATTGAAGGATTAAAATATTTATTTTTCTTTAAAATAATAATAGATGCCACGTGTCTTTAGTCTAAATAAATAGTACACCTTGGTCCTTACCTTTTACTTGGATTGAGAAAAATTTAGGAAGGAAAGAAAACTAGAGAGGAAAACATGAGGAGAAATAAGTTTTTCTTTACTTGGATAGGAAAGAAAATGAGAGGAAGAAAAAGTGGGAAAGAAAATAAAGTGGATCACATACCTCGTTTTCTCTCCCAGTTTTCTCTCCATATATGAAGGGATTTGAGAAAGAAAACAAGATTTTCACAATTACTCCTCCTCTCCTTTCCTCTCCATATTTATTTTTTTTATTATATTTAAAAAATTATTCACTGTTTATTTTTATTTTAAAACAATATTTTTATTAAATAATTTTGTTTTAAAATATAATGATCTAAAAATATATATAAATCAAATAACTTGATTTCAAATTATTTGATAATGTTAATGTTAGTACAATGTTCCTATTGCAATATTTAATTTGATGTAATTTTAAATATGATATATTTTGAAAAGGATATTTTAGTCATTTAGACATTTGCTCATTTTCTTTACTTCATATTTTCTCTCATCTATCCAAACAAGAAGAATGATAGCATCTTCCCTCTATTTTCTCTCCTCCCATTTTTTTCCCAACTTTTCTTCCCATTCAAACAAAGCATTAATATAGAATTAATTAACTAATTTGAGTATGTGAAGAATGTTAGTTAAATTAGTTAATATGATATATTTTTTTTCCTAAAGTATACCTAAGCATCTTTCTTAATTTTCTCTCTCCTTCTTTTCCTTGATTATTGTTGAGGGAATATCAATAGGATTAATTTGAGAAAAATTTGATAAATATGAAAAATAGATCTTATATATATGACCAATATTAACTCTCAAATTAGGTCCTGCAGGAGCACAATATCAAAAATGATAAACATATAAATTAAGTAAAGAACTTTGGACGTATAACTTTTTTTTTATGACCATCAACAAAAAGCACTAAGCTACATCAGATATACCAAGATTAACAACAAAATCAGGAGGAGAATAAAGAAAGCTTATTCCCTCAACAACATTCAGCGAGTTCTTGGCTAGCATGTTGGCCACCGTATTTGCATCTCGACCACACCAGGCTAAGGTTGCGTCCCAATCCTTTCCAAGCCATCTTTGAATCTTAGGAAGAAGGTCCTTTTCCAAGTGTTCATCATGCCAACCAGTGTTAAGAATTTCCACAAGCTCCCGGCAATCAGTTTCAATGACGACCCATTTCCAATTCATATCCCATGCTCTTTTAAGGCCCCCAAGCACAACCCAAGCTTCCGCATGAAAACTATTACCTTTGCCGATATGAAACATAAAACCATCAAGCCAATGCCCTTCATGATCCCTAGGCACACCACCACATGCTGCCACCAAGTCCCCATGGCCAGCTACTCCATCAACATTGTATTTGATACATCCCACCCAAGGTGGTTGCCAACTACAAATCAATCGTGCTTGACTACTAAGACCATTGGCACCCGCATACGAACACGCAATAATGGCTTTTGACTGGGCAACAACAGAGAGACTTCCCTTTGATTTATAACTTTAACTTAGAGAAGATGTTGGCAAAAAAAAAAAAAACGGAAAAAACATAACTTAGAAGATATGCACGTCCAAAAATTATGGGTTTCATTTTTAATTTATTGGTACACAGTCCTTTACTTTGTAGTTTTAATTTCATCTTCCCACTACCGATCCTGGTTCATCATCATTTTTAACTACGTAATTACCCCACGAGATGGTCACGTGCTATTTATCAAATATTGAAGGTTGAATATATTCCGCTGCAAAACAGCTTTCATGACCATGTCATTATCATTTGAAATTCTTTTATTATATTGAAGACAGTTACATAAAGTGTAGAGACAATCATGTTTCATTATGGCATGTTATGGGCTGATTTGGTTTGTGAACAATCATCCAATGCAGCGTACAGATAGCACATGCTAGTTCATTAAAATTGAAAACTACCATGCTTTATTAGCAAATGCTAATTTGAATCAATTTGCACCATCAATTCGAATTGTTAAATAAATATTCATATCCATATCCATATCAATATATATATATATAATAACACTCTAAATCTCGTAGCCTCAAGCTCATTGGTCAAGCTGTCCAGATGATGTGTCTCCATCCCTGTTGATCTATTGGTTACATATTCAGCTCTATCCGCGTCATTTTTCTAAGATGCATATCCGTAGTCGCTTCATCTACCCTCATCACCACCCCCTTGAAAAAAGTTGCGATCATTACTCTGCTATAGTTAGACCAATCAGATTTGCCACCACCTAATCCCCAATTGGTGGATGAATGGAATTAAGTATTTTTCCCGCATGCTCTGACCCTGATTCCTTATACGTCGTCTTTTCGTCTCTCCACTGTAATCGTAAATCCAATTCAAAAATCGACGCCATCTTCCTCTCTGTTATTTTTCTTGCCCATGTATAAGCCACGGGTTCGGTGTATTAGACGTCATGCTTAGGCGTGACATTAAATCTACTCATCTAATCGGATGTGTTTTCGGTGGGGTCATTAATGCTTCTCCCTCTGACTTTCTGAAGCATAATTGTATACCATGAGAGTATTTCATTCCCAAGGCTAATCCAAATTTAAGTGGTGGTCCTCTCCATATCATACATGTGTCAATGGTGTGAATTGGAATTGGGTTTGAAATTTGAATTTAAAAGAGTCTGGTCATCTCTTTAGTATCCCCGAAGTTGGCCGTTTTGGTTTCTGAGGCATTAATCATTAACGAGCCTGTCAACCAATGCATCGTTCTTCCTTTTCAACAGTATATATCGGATGTGAATCGTCTTTTTCTCCAGTGCTTCTTCGCAGCCAGTTCATTCTGCTGGTACTAATCGGTATTGTGTGTTTTGTTATATCATATATATTCACTCATTCTGATCTTTGGACGTCAGGATATAATCATCTAAAAGTTTTCACTTTCATTTCTGTTTTGTTTTGGCTTTTTCCAGTTATAAAGACTAATAGTGCGGCAACAGGTATGGCAATCTCTCTCCACTCTTTCTCTAATTTCATTTGACGGTTTGTTCATTATTTTTTGAGTCTAGGTTTTAAAGTACAGAAATCTTCTCCTAATGGAATCCGTAGTCTGATATTGAAAACAAAGCGGGAAACCGTTTTCAAAGCAGAACATGAAATTCAGTCTGATTCTTTTCATGGTCTAGGGGCACTCTCATTTTACTGATAGGGCTGTTTGTTAAATGGGTTATTGGATAATGGTGGTTTCAGGGATCTTCATGGTTGTTTCTTTAGTTTCCACAGTTCACTCTGCTCAATATCATTAAAAGGTACATTACATCTGCCCTTTTAATTTATGCAAAGGGTATTTCTTTCTTCATTTTCAAGTTTACATATGCTATTATTCTCGGTCAACTCTCCCTCTCTATCATTCAAACACTATGTCTAGCCCTTTTTCTGAGTGAAAGCATGCTTCTCTATTACTATTTTAAAATACTGAATTCTTATTTCTTTTCATTAGCCATTCTCAATAGCCTTTTCCTTCCATTATTTTTTTCTTTTTGTTTTTGTTTTCAAATATGGATTAGGGTAAATTTTAATTTATGTATCGAAAAAAAAGAGTAAATGTTAACTTCATCCATGTATACCAAATTTTCTTTTCTCAAGGGTATGCTATTTATGGATCATTGTTGACATGTTTACAATTCAGATGCCATGTGGGCTTGATTTTGCGTATGTATTTTTATCATTTTTATGTTCCATACATCTTTTAGTGAATGCACCTTTGTCATATCTTGTTATAGTCTCTTAACCTTGTGCCAATTTATTTATATATTGAAGTATCATTTTCTTATATTGGAAGACGATCCCTAACTTCTATGACTTTATGTTTGTGATTTTAGCTTCCCATTCTTGGTGGCCTTCCTTTCCTTGAGAAAAGAAATTCCAAACTGCATACATAGTTGCAAGGAAATCTGGGCAGCATCTTTCCCTCATAGATAATTAGGATGGAAAGCCTCCTGCCCCTTCGTATGGTTGGTGATTTTGATGACTAAAGTTCATATTTGTACCAATTTGTCAATTTACAAGAATTATTGTTGCAAAAATGTGACAACCGTTCTTTTAAAACCCATTTAGATCAAAATTTCAATTTATTCGAAAAATTAACCATGATAGAAAAGAAAAAACTTTAAAATTTTAAAATCACTATCATGGTTAAAAGAAATAAACTTATATCACGAGCACGTCGATATTTAACTTGGGTCTTAGACTTTCAAAGTCTAGAAATATCATTCCACCCTTAGCCCAAACAAAAACTTATACTTTCAAACGAATGTCACGTGCAACGTCTCAGAGGCCTCTGACTTTCTAACAGCTCTCTCATTAATTAGCAATAATCAAATGTATTAGTTCACAACAACAAAATAGATGAGCCCTATGTGGCAATATATAATAAAATAGCACATAAGACAAAAGAGGGGAGGCTATACAAGAAAAACTTGTTAGCTAAGCCCCTGCTATCTTCGCTGACAGAACAGCCTTAGAGCTATTACCTGAAAATGTTAAACCACGGGAGTGAGACAAACGCCTCAATAACCAACCTTCCAACTCATCATACATACTAACATGGGCTCGTGAGGTGTCAAGTGGGACAATTATTAATTCTCGAGAAATATAGATATATCCATAGAAATATAATTTCAATCATCCAAACCCTCACTATGGGGGCCAACACACAAGCCACATAAGTCTATCCCTCACTATGGGGGATCAATCAAACATATAGGTCTATCCCTCACTTTGGGGGACGAATAAGAAGCCACAAAGGCCTATCCCTCACTATGGGGGACGAAGGAAGAAGCCAACCAATGTGCATCAATGATGGCCTTATCACGTGGTAGGATCGAACTCAATCCAAAATCCAAATAACAACCAAATCATTCACAATATAACGAAAAATGTCTCAATCTTTTCTCAGTATAATCTATAAGATATAAATCGTATATCTTTTCCAAACTTCTCAATCACAATTCCAAAAATCCTACAAGACAATTTTCATAGCTCAACAGATATAATATATCTACTCGAATTCCAAATAACAAATATTATTCAAACATAGGAAAATACTCACAAACAACATATTAGCACACATATAACAAGTGGAAAGTGGTTACCTCTCACTAAAGTAATAGAAGGATTACCACGAGGTCAATCCTTTGCTCAACCAATTATTAATCTACACAATTAATATAACCACATATTAATATAAACTAATTAATTAATTAAGCTTATATATTAGTTAAATTCCTAAATTAATTTAATTTTCATTCTAAATTCTCACAACTCTTATAACCCAAAATTAAGTACTTTAGAACTAAGTGATAATTTTCTAATGAGTCAAATTATTTATTTACATCCTCCAACTTATTTACTTTAATAAAAAGAATTTTCTAAAATTTCTAAATATGAAATTAGTATATTCTAAATTCTAAAAATCTCATTTGAAATTTAAACCTCAAAACCGAATCATCAAAAATTCAATAGTATCTCAAATATTTATATATATAAATAATCTAATCAAAATTTTAATGGCATATATATTTTTTTTCCATAAATAAGAAACTTTAACTACAATAATTATTTTAAAACCTCCAGTCACCCAATAAATAAAACTAAACCGATTAAAATTTTAATAATATGTCAAACAATCCAAATAAATTATTTAACTTAATTTTAATTGGTATAAATATGATATATCTCATAAATAACATATTTTTTTAATTAAAAAATTAATTTTTAAATACTAAAATCAACAAATGGACAAATCTAAACTGGTAGAAATGATATACTATAACAGATCTATAATACTGTGGTTAACACTCATCAAAACTAAATACTTGCTCCAAACTTTATATCAAAAAATTTCTCTAAGCAACACAAAATTACTATCATTAGATAGATCTGACTGAGTAGAACAATTTTCATGAAGGAAGTTTTGTAATTAGAAGTAGTTTTACTTACCAAAACTATCTGAAACGATGAAGAAAGAAGAGGGAGAGACGAGCGACGCTGCGAGTAGAATGAACGCGGAGAGAGAGAAAGAGAGGAAGAGAAAGAAGACGGGAGAAGGTAAAAAGAAAACATTTGGGGTAAACTGAAGTTAAAGACCCTAGGTAAAACGGAAAAAAAAAACAGTTTCAACCCCTTTTTTTAAAAAATATTTAAATCCTTAGAATAGAATTTAAGATGTTACAAAAAAGCTCTAAATTAATGGAGTAGAGTCAACCATCTATTTCAAACCTACCAGTTGCCAAGTTCACCCTCAATTATACTGAAGCTTGCACAATTGTATTATGAAATGGAACTTGGAATGATGGGACGTCAAGAATATAATAATACTTGATAAATTATTGAAAGCAAGCAACCTTCTACATTTTCAACATTATTACAACAACAACAACAACAAAACCCTATCCCACTAGGTGGGGTCGGCTATATGGATCGCACGACGCCATTAAGTCCTATCCAAAGCCAAATTTTTGGATAGATTACTAATTGAAAGATTTCTCTCAATGACTTCATTAAACGTTGTCTTTAGCCTTCCTCTACTCTTTTTTAAAGGACTCCATATTGTTTGCTCAATTCTTCTTACCGGCGTGTCCCAAGGCCTTCTTTACACGTGGCCAAACCATCTCAATCGGTTTTCTACCATTTTCTCATCAATAGCTGCCACTCCAACTTTTCTTCTTATATGTTCATTACGGATCTTGTCTTTTCTTATATGATCACACATCCATCTCAATATTCTCATCTCAGCAACTGCCATTTTATGTTCATATTATCCCTTTAAAGCCCAACACTCATTGCCATATAGCATTGCCGATCTTATAGCAGTGCTATAAAACTTTCCTTTGACCTTATTTGGTACTTTTCGATCACAGATAACTCTTATCGCTTTTCTCCATTTAAACCACCCAACTTGAATTATATGATTAACATCTCCACTAATTTCCCTATCTTTTTGCATAATTAATCCCAAATATTTAAACTTTTCCACTTGTTGAATGACCTGGTCTCCCAATCTGACCTCTAATTTTGTACTAACTTGTCTCTTCTTAAAACTGCAATGCATATATTCCGTCTTGCTTCTACTCAAATGAAAACCCTTCGATTTTAAGGTTCTTTTCCATGTCTCAAGTTTAGCGATAATCTCTTCTTTTGACTCAGCCAATAGAACTATATCATCAGCAAAAAGCATGCACTTAAGGATTTCTTCTTTGATATGCTCAGTTAGAACATCGAGGACTAGGTTAAACAGATAAAAGCTTAGAGATCATCCCTGATGTAGGCTAATCCTTATAAGGAAGTCTTTTGTCTCACTGCCCAGTGTTCTAACACTAGTTGTGACCCCCTCATACATGTCTTGTATGATTTTAATATAAGCGACACACCCCTTTCTTCTCCAAGGCTCTCCAGAGCACTTTTCTAGGCATACAGTCATAAGCTTTTTCCAAATCAATATAAATCATATGTAAGTCTCTTTTATGGCTTCGATGCTTTTCCATTCAGCCCCTTAGTAAATATATCACTTCTGTTGTTGATCTTCCTGGCATGAACCCAAATTGGTTTTCAGAAATACAAGTCTCCAATCTCAACCTATATTCCATCACCTTCTCCCATAATTTCATGATATGGCTCATGAGTTTATCCCTTTGTGACTAGCACAGTTCTTAGTATCCTCTTTATTTTTGTAAATAAGTACTAAAGTACTTTTCCCCCAATCATCAGGCATTTTCTTGGAGCGCAAAATCTCATTGAATAACTTAGAAAAAAACCCTCCCTTCACCCAAACATTTCCAAACTTCCATAGGAATACCATCATGTCTAACTGCTTTATTATTTTCCATTTTCTTGACAGTTTCCTTAACTTCACCAACTCGAATTCTCGATAAAAAGAAAAATTATGTTCCTCTTCTCCAATTGTCAAATCTTCAAGCTCATAAGTCAATCCTTCACTCGCATCATTAAATAGCTTATAAAAGTAGGCTTCCCAATGATCCTTAATATCACCATCAGTAACCAAAACTCTACCTTCTTCGTTCTTTATACATCTTACTTGGTCTAAATCTCTTGTTTTTCTTTCTTTATTCTTCAGGATCTTGTACTCTTGTGTTCCCTAGCCTTAGTCCCTAAATCCTTATAGAACTCAAAAGCTTTAGCACAAGCTTCTACCACTGCTCTCCTAATCTCTTTTTTAGCTACACGGTACTTTTCCCAATTTTCTGCATTATTATACAAACGTAATGTTTTAAAACACTCTTGTTTATGCCTACTTTTCTCTTGCACATTCTCGTTCCACCACCACGTCTCTTTATCTCCCCAACCTTGACCTTTTAATTCACCCAAGATTGCTTTGGCAACCTTCCGGACCTTTTTAGTCATTTCTATCAACATAAGATTAGCATTTCTTTGTAGCTCCCAAACCCCTTCATTTAAAAGTGTCCTTTTGAAAATCTCTCACTTCTCTCCCTTTAACTGCCACCATTTAACCCTTAGGGTTAACACTTGTTGGCACTTTTGTTTTATACACTTAATATGCACATCAAGGACCAGTACTTTATGTTGTGCTGTCACGCCATCTCCAAGAATCACTTTACATTTTGTGTAGAGTTTTCTATTAGGATTCCTTACTAGAAAGAAATCGATCTATGACCTATGAGTTCCATTCTTGTAACTGATTAAATGCTCATCCTGTTTCTTAAAACAAGTGTTAACAATCTTGAGGTTGTACGTGAAGGAGAAATCAATAATAGCTTGTCTTGCATTATTATGCACTCCAAAACCCATACCATCCTGAGCCCCAGAATGTTGTCCCATGTCTTTAACAACATGTCCATTAGGATCACCGCTAATAAAAATCTTTTCCATGGTTGGTATACTTTGAATCAAACCCTCCATATCCGTCTAAAATTTCTCCTTAAGATAGTTTCTACTCATACTTGAGGTGCACAAGCACTAATCACATTGATAGTATCCCTCCCCATAATTATTCTTAAAGAAATGATTCTGTCTTCTATCCTTTTGACTTCCACCACATTCTGTTTCCATTCATTATCAATTATAATACCAGTTCCATTCCTTGTGCCTACCTTTCCCGTATAACAAAGTTTAAATTCATTAGTAAATTCGAAGGCCTTCTCTTCAATGTATTTAGTTTCTTGTAGGCATAAAATATTAATCTTCCTTTTGCCCATTACTTCCATCATCTCCCTTGATTTACCATACAGTGTCCCAACATTCCAAGTGTCAAACCTGATCTTACTTTCATAAACTAACTTCTTTAGCTGCCTCCGTCCATAAGAGTGTGGTAGTCTTTGCTCATTTAACACTAGATTCGAGCGACAATACAGCGGATCTTGCTCACTTCTCACTGTACTCGAGCCATACAGCGCGCCACTTTTGGGCAATGACCTAGCAGTAGAACAATTTCTTCGTTGATCCATGTCATAAAAGATTCGATAGAGTTTTACGTTGGCTGTCGAGGACCTAACACGACCCTCCTCCTTTACCTAGACTTGGAACCGGCTATGCAACATAGGTGGAGTTAAAAGATAGAGGCAACATTATTACAATAGAGACAATAAAGCCACATTGTTCTACTCAAAAAGGTTTATGTTCAGTTCAGGAATGAGAGTGCCCGTAAACATTTCATCTAGAAAGGATAACTATAATGTTCAAACTTCTTCTCTCATACAAAACTAGCTTTTCTAAGGATTTCCTTTTCGTCAATAGGCCACAATTCTTACAAGCCTCTGTGCTCATATAGAATGGATTGTGCATTCTCCACCGCAGGTTTGGTAGTTTCTGTTATGGATTTTCAGCCTGGTGAAGTTATCATTGATTTAGGCTTAATGGAAAGACTGCTCATGGCTTCTCACTGAGATGGGAAGGGGTGTGTGCGCGTGTATCATTGGCTCTAATGATAAAGAGATTGACCATTTGAAAACCATGATAAAGAGAAGATTAAATTTTCACCCATTTATATGCCCCAGATATTAAACTTTACTGTTTCCGCTTGATATATGTCACCTAGGAATTCTCAATTTGGTTTTGGAGGAACGTTCAATGGCAACCAAATTTTCTCTTAAACCTTGACCATGGTATGCTGGGAATAAATTCGAGGTAAATACTTCTTATGTTCTCTTCGTATTTTTTTTTTAACGTGTAAAAAAATCCACAAAAAAGTTTCTTATTAAGGATACGTTTGGATCACCATTTGGAGGAGGAAAAGTGCTTAGGAACATATGAAACGGTGGTTTGAAGCTTTTTTGAAGAAAACACATATTTGGATTGCTGTTGAGTGCAAATGAACTTATACCATATAATTGACCTTTTTTCCAACATTCCCAAGCGTAACTTTTGCCTTCTACGCGGCAACTGATGGGGTTCACATGGGTGAATGACAAAATGCTTTTACTTTTTTGCCCCAGAGAGAGAATGTTTTTATATAAGATTTAATAGATTAATTTAAAAAGATTAAAAAACTAAATAAATTATTTAATTATATTTTATGTTACATGATTTCTCTAAAATATTTATATGTATTATTAAACTACATATTAGTTTACAAGTCAAGCAAATTAATTTGAAAAAAGATAAATATAAATATTTCAAAATAATTTATTTAAATTTCCTAATATTCTCAAATTAATTATATGTATTTAATTATATTCTGTGTATGTTCAAAATTTTCTCACCAACAGATATTTTTATTTTACAATTATAAATTTAATTATTTTTTAACAATTATCATATTAATATCATATAATATAAAACATTAATATTCAATAAAGTTCATATCATTTTCAGTCATTTTATGCCTAAACTTATTTTTTTATTAATTATCCAAACAAGATTTAACTTTTTCAACTGACTTTTTATAAGCATCAATATAAATATAAATCGCATTACATTAACTGACTTTTACTCTAACTTTAGTTTATAAAAGTCAGTTTTGTCACTGTCAATCTAAACACATCCTAAGTTGTTATGATATGTGTGATTATATCATGAGTTAAGTCTTCACTCTTTTTTTCGATGATCAGGGAAATAAAACAAACAGAAAAGGACAAAACTAAAAATTACGAACTACGTGATGGTCCTTGCATCTCGGAGACGCTTGGCAGTGACATCGGGGATAATTTGCAACCCATAAGGCCTTCCTCGTGAAAAAAATCAGCTTTCAATCTTTACTCCTTTCACATTAGGCCTTTTCTTTTTCTATAAGCATGGTTATGCAGCCAATATTTGCGACTCCCAAGAGTGAACTTTAATTTGCCTCTGAAGAAGTGCGACACATTGGAAACAATTTTGAAATTTGACATTTAGGCTGCCTAAGGATTTTTTTTCCCCCTTTGGAGGGTGGGTTAAAGGGCAGAAGTTTTCATATCCACAGTGTTATTATTAAGATGTTAAAATTAAAGTAGGCTAATTGAAATATCAGAATATGAAAAAACAAAGAAAATTTATTTAAATAGTTTAAATAATTGTTTTTAAAATTCAAGGAGTGAAGAGTTACAACACAGTAGTAGTGTCTCCAGAATTTGGTTTTTAGGCTCCTTGAGGATTCTTTTAAAGGGACAATAGGAAGAAGTTTTGATATTAATAGATTAACTATTAAAATATTAAAATTTATTCAAATCAATGTTTCTTGAAATTGTTTATTTTGCTTTAGATATAAATAGATTTTTATATGCATCAATAATAGTTTTTCTTTTTAAAATTCAATTTTAATAAGTTTAGGTCTAATGTATCAAATTCAGCTTGACTGTTCAAATTCTACTACTATACATTTAACCATTTATAGTGATTTTAACTGTATTTCTTTTACGTCGGTTTTTTTTTCTTCGAATAAAAAACGATAGTTTATAAAATTATTAAACTTGATGGTATTTTTGTTTTTCATCTATAGTTGAAAGTACAACAAAATTTCAAAGTGGGTTAGTGAAAAAGTGAGGTGCACTCATATGATGTATGAAATACAAAAAAAAAATGCAGTAGTTAAATGAATATTGTGAACTGACCTGTTCGCGTAATTCGAATTTGCTTTTAGTGTTTGTTACTGGAGGCTTCAAAACATTCTATTAATGACAATCAAAATTTGTTACAAGTGATCCTCTACCTTAATAACAATCGGTGTTATTATGAATTTTCTTGCTTTGGTGACCTAAAAATATGACATCAAACGAAACTATTAATAAGTGAGTTGTAGTTAAATAAAAGTTTCTTTGTACAGTAGGCTCTATGTTTTTTATTTTCTCTCAAATAAATATAACATAATAATTTAAAATATATTTTTTTAATTTTAGTAGAGATCTATTATGTATTTATAATTTTCATTTTTAAAATAATATTATTGATAATCCTTTATTTAACTGATAAACATAATTATTTAATATGTTTAACCTATTTACATTTATTTTGAATTATTTTAATATTGAAGTTTTATAAATTTTTGTTTTATATTACAATATATTTTCATTTAAAATAAACAAACTAAACTATTTTAAATTTCTTTTCATACCTAAATATTTGAGATGTATAGAGAACTTTAAAAATATACAAATAAAAAAGTAGATATATAAATAAAATTTGATAAATAATTTTAAATTATGTTTTAGTCTCATAATTTTGATTAAATTTATTTAAAATTTCTTTTGTATATATACATCATAGTTTGTTAGCATAATAGTGTTAATCTTCTTGCTAGCTAAGATTAGTTTGTTTCATGAAAAAATTGATATAACAAAAATTATATATTTAAAGTATGATTACTTTTATAACTAAATTTTATATATTAAGTCTTTATGTTAAAAATTAATCATAATCTATCATCCAATTGCATCATTTCAATATCTCAATGAAAAAATCCTTTAAATTAACCATAAAATCTTAGAATAGATGTTATTAAAAAAAAAAATCCTAGAATAGACTGTAACCAAGATTCATATAAATTCTCATCCCTTAACATTATGTTTGGTATAGGGTTTTTGTCTCTTTCCTGATTTGGTTGGTACATTTTTTCAGAAAAGGAAGAGAGTTATTTCCCTTTTTTTGTTTGATTGAAATATTTTTTTAAAGAGGGGAGGGGCTCTTTCTTTCCTTCTTTTTTTTTTCCCTTTCTAGCCTCTCCTCCAAAAATGGAGTTTTTTTTTATAGAAGAAATGAAAGATAAAATTTTAAGTTTTAAAATTAGCTCAATTAAAGTACTTTATCCCTCCTATACTATTTCGATATGTTAACCCTAATCAACTGCAAACATTTCTATACAAAAGGGTTTCTTTGAACATCTAGCAAGCAGCTGTCGAGAATGCTGTCTCCAAAATTGATGAGTATTGTTAGACTTTTCTCTTCTTCTTCTTCTTCTTCTTCTTCTAATTTACCTTCAATGCCTCTTTTATGATTGAAACCCATCATTCGCGGCCTCTTATCTTGATATTCTATATGTGTGTCATGATGTCTTACAAGTCAAAATTGATGAATTGTATTATATATATATATATATATATATGCATATCTGGATAAAATTTTTTAAAAAATGACGAAATCTATTTAAATTTTACAAGTGGTCTTCCTTAATATGCAGTTAGATTCCATAATATGTAAGTGGCCTTCTCAAATGCAATTACCTTCTATAATATGTAATATGAACCAACATGCAATTACCTTCCCCAAAAGGCAATTAACTTCAATAAAGTGCAAATTAAATGGACTTTCTTGATATGCACTCACCTTTTCAAGGACAAATTAGGCATTTTATATGCTCATTTATTATTTTAGTCATAAAGGATCCTATTCCTTAGCATCAATTAATTTGACAATGAAGAATTTATCCTAATTTCCCCCTTTGAAAATGACAATATATGATTTATTCATCACAATATTATGATTATTCCCTCATTTATCAATATTTTATACTTTTATTATGAAGAGCAAGCTTACAAATTTTTAGGATGAAATTGTATTTTTTTTGGGTCAAAATATTAGAATATTATAATCCTAGACAACTTTCATTTAACCCCATTCTTTACTAGAAAATAAAATTAATTTCAAATATTTTTAATTCATTGCTAGTTTGGTCCCAAAAAAATTACTAGTTAAATAACGAAAGATTGAAAATTTAGATTTTCAAAAATATACATATTCACTAATCTATTTTTTCATTAAATATAAATGTTAATTATCAAAATTATACCTCTCCCTTATTTAATTGAAAGAATCATTATAAGATCCCAAGGAAAAAAATGTAATCACTAAAAAATTTCAAAAATTTCAATAACAAGTTAGTAGTTTGAACCTAATATTACTTCCTAGAACTTGTACTTGCATGATGCTCAATTGCTATAAAACTTTTTAGTAAGTATATTTCTTCTTTATGACCTTATAATACTTCTCCTTTTTAATTTTTAAGAATTATAATATATGATATGTTCACTACATCATTTAATTTTTTCCCCATTAATTTTTCAATAGCATATAGTGAAATTTGAAGGTATGAAGAGTATCTTTAGAAATTTTGAGTAGGCTAAAATATACATTTGGACTTTTAACTTTATGTAAAGTTTGAATTATAGGGTTAGAGAACAAAAAGTTTATTTTCTAAAGTTAAGGAACTAAAATAAAACCTTGTGTAAAGATAAAGGACTAAAAGTATATTTTAACCTTTTGAGTGCTATTATTCAGTTATTAATTTGTCTTCAGATATTATTTAATGAATTTAACAGCATAAAATTGGGAAAAAAAATAAGTATGTACTCTTTCTGTCATTAATATAGAACTTAATTATTGAATTGATTTTAATCTTAAATATAAGATCTATTTTTTATATTTATCAATTTTTCTTAAATTACTGCTATCAATCTCCCTCAACCATAATCAACTAAAAGAGAGAGATAAGATATCAAGAAAGATGATTGCGGTGTTTTAGGAAAAACATATCATATTTCTTATAATTAACTAACTTATTTAACTTTTTTAATCTAATCAAATTAGTTAAATAGGATTTATATTAAGGACTGAGTAATTTTTTTATAAGCAGTTACTTTTTTTATTAAATGGGGTGCGTGAGTAAGCGGCATGTGCGTTATCCATGTCCGGTAAACAAAGAAAACAAGGGAAAATTACTCGCAAGTTACAAGGAAGAGACTTTATTTATATAAAGTCTTACGAAATGTCAAAATTACTAGCAAGTTTGAAAAAACCTTAGAATATTATATTTTAATTATAAAATGACATCACTACCTCTCAGATTCTCGATTCATAATTTTTCTACCATTATGATTAACAACTTCAACAGCGATTATTGACAACATAATGAGGAGGTGTTGACAACCTAAGCAATATATACTGATAACTTACTTTATAGTATCACATAACCTCCACATAAGAGTAAATTATAACCAAATAGTATAATACAATAACTTTAATATTGAAATGGGAAGCTTTTCGAAACCATTAGGAATTTTAACTAAATCCAATAGGGGTATAGTAAAATTTTAATGCGGAGATCCATTGACAACCTCAACGGTGAGTATTAATAACCTGAGGAGAGCTATTGACAATCTAAACAGTGTCTGTTAACAACTAATTTTATAGGATAATATAACTTCTACATAAGATCAAATTATAACTAAATAGTAAAATATAACAACTACATGAGATCAACTTTAATACTATTTAGTTATAATTTAGTTAGTTATAATTGTTAGACGTTATATTATCATATAAAGTCAGTTGTCAACAGATACTGTCTAGGTTGTCAACAGCTCTCCTTAGGTTATTAATACTCACCATTGAAGTTGTCAATAGATCTTTACATTAAAATTTTGCTATAATCCTATTACGTTTAATTAAAATTATTAATGGTTTCGAAAAGCTTCCCATTTCAATGTTATAATTGTTGTATTATACTATTTGGTTATAATTTATTCTTATGTGGAGGTTATGTGATCCTATAAAATAAGTTGTTAATAGATACTGCTTAGGGTGTCAATACCTTTTTATTGAATTGTTAATAATCACTGCTAAGGTTGTCAATTGCAAAAGCAGAGAAAATGTGAATTGCAAATCTAAGATGCAGTGATTTCATTTTATAATTAGAACATAATACTCTAAGATTCCTTCGGATCTACTAATAATTTTGATATTTCGTGGTACCTTAAATGAATAAAATCTCGTCCTTAGAATATGTACGTAGTTTTCCCAAAAAACAATGTGCGTTATCCATCAATATTTACATTATATTCAAATTTATTAAGTATATAATTTTCAACAAACACATGAAACGTAATAAGGAGGGAGCACTGGCACATGATATGAGGCAACCAAACTATAAATCCATTACTTAAACATAATACCGTTGAAGTGCACCCAGTTACATTGATATCAATCAAATTATACTAAAATAAATAATTTCTAATACTATTTGAGATACTATTAGTTACTAAATATAAGCATCTTTTTTAACAAAAATTGACTTGAATAGATTCCCTCTAATAAAAAGACATCAATGCCTAACCAAAAAAAAATTGAAAAAAAACTGGAGATAAGTCTTTGGTTGAAAAATTAATTAGGCAATGCTACCTGAAACATTTAGGCCATTGAGGGTAATTAATTGTAGTGGGAGAAAGATTAAATTACCCTAATTGTATATTGTTAATCCGAAATTGCATATGACTGATTCTAATTATATATTACAAATGCCTAGTTACATATGAGATCTTATTACATATTACAAATCCTAATAATGTGTAAATATCTTCCATAATATGGCCAAATTTGCCAATAATTTAAGCCCAAAATATTGATACTTCTTCCATCCTAAATATAAGATTCAATTAAGAAATTAATTTTAATCATAAGTATAAGACTTAATTTATTTTATGCCTTATATTCATCTTTTATTTTCAAATTAATTTATCTAACATAAATGTATTATATGAAAATCATGTTATATTTGTTAGAATCAAGTAATTTATTTAGGTTTCTTAATTTACCTAATTTAGTTAAAATTTTAATCATCAATATATTACTTTAATTTATTTTATTTCTTATATTTATTTTTTTCCAAACTAATTTATCTAACACAAAAGTCTTATAGGAAAATCATGTCATATTTGTTAGAATCAAGTAATTTGTTTAGTTTTGTTAATCTACTCAAATTAATTAAATAGTTTTTACATTAAAGACCAGAAGAGTATCATTCAAGATCTCATCAGGATTGTTAATAGAGTTTTGAACCTCCCCATTAATTTTGCAGAGAGGCTAATCATATAGCAAGCACCATAGCTAGGAAAGGCCAAGGACTAAATGTTGATTTTCTCAGTCTTTGATTGTTCCCCACTTTTCTAATAAAAGGAAGCAAATTAAATTTCCCTTTATCATTGTGAAGTTTGTTTTCTTCCCTGGTGAATGATACTTACACAGTTTGAGTGCCAAAAGAAAAAAATGATATAAATGCCCTTTATTTCATCATGAAAATCTAGGACCTCATCTGGCACTAGAAGACTGGAAAGTTTTTGGAATAACCCTTAATCCTGAAAGTAGGACCTTGGCATGGCATGATCTCAAGAATCTAGATCAGAAACTCCACTACCAGTAGAACAAATTTTCCGAGAAAACTCCCTCATCCCAAATATAAGGGCCCACATTTCGATTCCCATTTTCTGAGAGACAACAAAATATGAGGAGTCATGAAATACATTCCAGAGGTCCAGCCATCGATTGCAATTAGAAGATTTGTAATGTTCCCTAGGCTTTCAAGGATTTCTACCATTCAATTCAATCAGAATTCACAAATTACACAATGAAATACGTTTCACAGTTTGTTTGCGTTTTACTTTCCCCGGCTGCAATGTTAAACTGGTCCATTTGGTGGACACCCCAGTTCATACCATCATCCTCCAAGGATGAGTTTCTCTGATAATTTCCGATGGAGTTGGGAGAAATCAGGTACATAGAATTTTATCAACAAAAGCCAGACTGATCACAACCAACTCATGCTTGGATAAGAGCAGGAAGAAGGCCAGCCAATTTCTTCCATAGGCTCACATCGGCCACAGAGTTTGAGGAAAGGAAAGAAGAGCAATCACATGAGTGCAAATCAAGGCCCCTAAAGGAAGAATGAGGAAGAAATCTGCCCATTGTAGACAGACACATTACCTAGAAAAATCAGATGACTCGATTTCGATTGTCATCATTTTCATGGACTGTCAATTTCAACAAAGGAAATGCAAAATATGTACAAGACCCCATGGCCCATGCACATTTTTCCCATCATTTACTTGAGTTTTTGCCACATACACTCTGTTTACCTTAGTCTTATATTAACGCTATCAATTTCAGATGAAACTGAGAGGATGAAATGCCTCAAAAACATTGAAATGTATACACCTGAAGTAATATAAACATTTATGCCTTGAAGCAAATTAGCTTGTGATTTCTCAATCAAATATGGTGAAACATGCAACCATCAAGTGTCATAACTTCTACTTACCATTAATCAACAATATTATCATAGAAGATGAATTTAGCATTTTGAACTTTCCGGTTATAATGATGTTGAAAGACTTAATGGAACAAAACTGAGCATATTCAATTAATTATTGTTCTGAATTTATACTAAAGTGATACAGAAACTTTCCACCATTACAACACAAGGTCCAGGAGGATACCGTCCCTGATCTTCAGCTAAATATTTATGAGAATAATCAGAGCAACTTAACACCAGCATCCCTAACAGAATCAACAACAGCTCGAACCTTACCATGATACTTCTGTTCCCTCTTCAAGTGAACAGTAATAGCAGGTATATTCTTGAGCAAAAGGCGTTCCCCTAGTATCTTCCCAATCTTTGCAGCTGCAGTCACATCTCGGGTCGTTTCCAAGCTTGACCTTAAGGCTTTCTCCTGAGAGCTTGCAAAACATGCTACAGTAGCAGTTGGTGTGTGGATCACCTGGGCACTAACGAACTTATTTGTAAAATGCATTTTCAGTACATAAGGCTTAAGAAAGTCTATGATCCTTGGAGGCCTTGGTGGAGGAGGGATCACCATATCTGTTTTGAAATGTATCAAATCAGTAGGAGTGGAAACAGGCCAAATCAGGCTAGGCTTTCCTCTTGATAGGCCAGGCCTATCATGTAACAAAATGGCCCGAGTTTGGCCGGTAGCCTATTATAATCTTTTTTATCAACCAAAACCTGACCTATACAAAAGCCTGATCTAATCTGAAGCCTATTAAAAGGCCTGTATATTTTAAAAACTACAAACAGGCTAACAAGCCTAGGCCTTCAAACAGGTCGAAAACAGGCAATTGCAAAAAAACAGGACAAGGCATTTAAACAGACTGAAAACAGGCTTTAATTACATAAACCAATTTAAAATTATAATAACACAATCCGATCCAAAATCATCTGAAATACAACATATGAGCTGGTATAATCTAATTAATCAACAAGATAACACCAAATACAACAACAGAACAATTTTGATTAAAATTACAACAACTTAGACCAAATAAAGTATAGCCACTAGTCGCAAATCATCAAATTTTCAAGCCAATTTCTTCTTCATGCTCGAACACCTTGAAAAGAAGAAATTAAATGTATAATATTATATCATAACACAATCTAACAAGTAATAACGATAAAAAAAAAAAAAAAAAGTATTATTTTTAGAATCTGTGCCTTTGGTTTTTTCTTTGAAAGACTACAATGTCTATTTATCAGAAGATATATGGGTATAAAACGTACAAGTTGATACGACTTTGCAAAAGAAGAAACAGAATGCCTAAAAAATATATTTATACAAAAGAACTAAAGATTGCAAGCTTGTGAGATTAGAGTAACAAAATATTCATTACGAATTTTTCTGCATTCAATGGCTAAACGTTAAAAAGGGGTTAAGACAAATTTTGAAACTGAAAGCATCCAATTCCCATCAAAGTTTTTCAATTTCATGTTTGAATTCGCCCTTATTGGTAATTCTGAGAACATAAATACCCCAATATCATCGATCTGGGAAATGAACTTTTGGTTCAGTGGAATCCAGTTTGTCTAATAAATGGATGCCTACTTATAGAAAGGTCGCGCAATAGAGGAAAAAAGAAAAGTAAAAAAGAAGAGCTTCGAACCATAAGAAGATACCAGTGACGCCTTTTCAACAGAATCAAGTTAAACTTTCCTGGAAAATTTTAGAAGATGTGGGTCGAGCTTGAAACACGTTGTTCGTTTAAAGGGAAAGGGAAAGAAACTTGAAACAAATCTAATATTTCATATGGACTACACTATGCCATTCCTATCCTATCTAATTAACGATTTCCCATTCCCATTCAAAACAAACATGATTTAATACATATCCTACCTGATAGGCAAGGCAAGAAACGTTGAGCGGCGGCGGCGAGCACAAATGAATGTCAGAGAGTGAGTGGTTGAGCGGCGAGCACGGACGCAAAACAGAGGTCGGAGAGTGAGCAGTTGAGCACGATAGTGTGGAACAAAGAGCGGAAAGCAATCAGGAGCGGCTAGGATTTAGGTTTGACTGTTTGAGCCAAAGAGGAATAGTCGTGAATCATCGTAAAAGAAGCTGAGGACAGTGGAGAGTAATTAACCAGTTATGTTTAAAATTATAAACCGTGGAAAATAGGTAACAATCGAACACGTTGCTGTAGTCGTGAAGCTTGTCCCTTTTTACTATCAGGTCTTTTTTTTTTTTTTTTGACCAGCATTTACTATCAGGTCTTGGCTTCTGTAAAATTACAGTAAATTTCTAGCTCTTGATTTCGACCCTTACCTTTTATAAAATTGAATGTAATATATTGTAAATTTTTGATAGGTTTTAGAGAGTCTAAACCTGACTTACTCCTCTGGTCCTTAATATAGGACCTAATTCTTGAGTTGGTTTTAGTTCTAAATATAAGACCCATTTCTTATATTTATCAATTTTCTCTAAATTACCCTTATAGATACTCTCTCAACCATAATCAAGTAGAAGAGGGAGAGGGGGTATTAAGAAATATGATTATGGTATTTTGGGAAAAATGCGTCACTTTTTTTATAATTAACTAACTTACCTAACTTCCTTAATCTAACTAAATTAGTTAAATGGGTCTTATATTAAGGACCGGAGGAGTATTAAATAAAATAAGCCTTCAGAAAAGTCTGAGCTTATTTTATTTTTTATTAGGCTAGGCTGTAGGTCCTTGACAAAACGTATGATTTATTTTCACATTTACATATTAGTATAAGCCCAAAAAATTTCAATTATAGTGCCACATGTGCTCAAGCATGTATAACGGATAGATAAAGGTTTTCTTCATCAAAGGAATCACTCCAATGTCACAACCTAAACCAGATTTTGGCATCCTTTGATGTGATTTTCATGAGTAGGTCTATATTATACTCAGAGAGTGTTTGGGTGATAATAAAAGTGCTTTTCAAAAATATTTTTCTATAAATCGAAATAAACTCCTCCACATATTTACTTCGTATACTATAAAAATATTTTTAAAATCATAGTTTTGTTTCTACCCAAACACCCCTCAATAGGAGAATCTTTCCCCACTAAAATTTTTGAGATATCATACCCTTTTATGATCTTCCACTTAATTGAATTGAAAAGAAAAATTAAAACAAAACATGAAATGGCAGGAGGGGGTCCGAGGTAGGGTTGACAACCACTCAAGGAAGAAATTCAAATCTAGATTCAAAGCTAGATTGAACATAACAGGCTCATCGGAGAAGACAACGCCCTACATTCGTACCTTCTTCAATGCTTTCCGGGAAAGAATACGCGGGGACTGATAACGGTGGACGGTTAAGCTCGCCCAAGTGTGAAATGCTTCACCAAGAAAAATCAATCCGCTCTGCCTACTGCTAGTTCTAGCAAAGAGATCTTGTTCTGTTAGGGTTATAATTAATTTTATTGATTTAATCTTCTGCAAAGGTGAACCAATGCAACATTTTTTGCATTCATAGAAGTCCATTCTTTAGTAATATTTACGTATTTAATGTAAAAGTTGGTTTGATTTTTAATTTGATTATAAATATAAAATATCAACTTATTTTTCTCTTATATTTATCCATTCTTTCTAAAGGAGTTCTTGTAGTAGTTATATATATTAAATATTTTATCGAATGACACTTGATTAGTAATAATATTTTAGGAAAGACAATATATATTTATTACAAATAACTAAATTAACTAATTTTTTTAATCTACTCAAATTAATTAACTAATTCTTATATTAAGGACTGGAAGTATTACAACATATTAATTGTAAAAGAGCAAAAAAATTAATATAATTTTTATATTTTATATTAATATTAACTAAATTACTCTGTATAAATGAAATTCAATAAATTTATAGTCACTTGAATAAAATCAAATAAAATTAAGTTTAAAGATAAAAGGTTTAAAAAAGGTTACAGAAACCTAATTAAATTATTGGCGAAGCTGTAATGATCTAATTAAAAGTGAATATGAACACGATATGATTAAAAATTTAATAAAACTGTAAGATAAATACAAAGAAAAAAACACTACATATACCTGTTTAAAAATTACGTAAAACTATAAAAACTTAGAGATTAAATTTTTTGAAAAAAATATAATAGGGTTGATATAATTTTTGTTCCTTATAGTTTGCTTTCATTTTAGCTTTAGTAGTCCTCATAATTTGAAATTATAGATTTTGACCCATCAAATTTTATTTTGATCATAATGTTATTCTTTGTAGTTTGATAAGAACTTGGACCAGAAGCTAACGGAATTAAGTTTGCTGATATTTTACTAATGTTGTTTATTTTGCTGACATGTATGCTGACAGGACATATGGTGTTAATAATTTAAAAAACCGTCGTTTTACTCACAAAAACCAGGGTTAGTTACCATCCTTGTCCTTTATAGAGTTTCAAAACTCGCTCAAAATCAAACTCATGAACCTGCATAAAGATGGACATTTGAGTTTTATACAAAATAACGTATTGAGTACCATTTGGAGGAATAGAAATGCTATTCTACATCATAGAGGATAACTATCGTAGCATATCATAAAGGAGACTAACAATACTTCATCTTTTTTTGAATTCGCAATTCAAGGTGAGCATGCTGAAACTGTGACATTAATAAAGGGGTCAAAGCTACAAAAATATATTATTTTCACATGAAATGTTAGGATGTATGAGAAATTAGTCTAAAAACTCATAAATATTTTTTTTAAAAAAATATTTTTAATACTTTTTACACCAGTTGCACAACACAACTAGTGTAAAAAATATATTTTACACCGATTGAATGCGAAACCGGTTAAAAATTCTATCAATATTTACAAAACTGTCACTGGTCACATTTTTCACGCCATTGCCACAATAAATGGTATAGATTAGACAGTGTAAAAAGGATTTTTTTTTTTTGCTAGTAGTATTTACTACCTTTGTCCCTTAATATAAGAGTTATACAACTAATTTAAAGATATTCAAGAAATTAGTTAATTTGATTATTTGTCACAAATGTGTGTTGATCTCCTTGAACTATCTTCTTTAATTATTTGCATTAGATGATTTGAATTATCCCTTATGAAAAAGAGAAAAAACTCAAGGAATTGATAAATGGGATCTATTGTTGGGTTTTTAAATATGATTAAATTACTAATAATATTTGTATTTGCAACTTAATTTTGATAATTTCATGTTTTTAAATAGAAATTTTATGGGAAAATTAGAGAGAAGAACCAAGAAAAAGTTATATTTATTGTAAAGGATCTTAAAAATTGCAGTTATTGAGATGGACCATAAATAAAAATATAAATATGCAAACATCAAATTGTCCCTAATTAAATCACCTACATTTTCACTAACCATACCTTAAATATTTGATGATTACCATTAATATATCTGCTCTTTTTATTTATCGAAACAAAACACACTCAAAATTTTTAACCAAAAATAAAGTTTTATTCAACCACTAAGATGAGGGTAAAATTTTCATCTCTACTTTTTTTCTCAAACCTATTCATCTTGTCAAATATATTACTTTTAAAAATTAGATTAAGTAAATTCCAAAAAATACTCAGATATAATAAATGAGCAAAAATATTGATAAAAATATATAAACAGATAAAGATACATAAAGTTAGCAAAATCATTAATAATAAATTATTTTTATTATTTTAATCAAAATCAAAATTATTTTTCACAACATATTTTAACATGCATAAATTTTTATGAAAATTTTAAATTAATTTAATGTAATTTCTTTTTAAACATTGCTTCTAATTTAATGTCATAACAAAAAAGTAGATTCATATATAAAATTTAGCTTTTTATTAAAAAAAAAAAGTTAGAACACAGACTGTTAAATTTTAGTGATGAAATTTAAGCGAACATTATTATATGTGATTATATTGTACAATTTTTATAATATATAGATTGAATAAAAAAAAGTAATAATTGATGATTATAGAGGGCTTCCCTATTTTTTAACTACTAATTGTCAAGTAATTGAGATGCGGTTAGTAGGAGTGTAACATCCATTCTCTAAGCTACTCAAAACACCGTATAAAACTAGTTTGATCTTAAGATCTCAATAATAAAGTTAACACTTAAAGACTCAGCCTTTTAACTACTACATCAAATAAATATGAGCAATAAAACTCATAATATAATTTGAGCATAAATATTCAAGTTCACAGTCTCAAAATCTAACATAACATAAACAATGAAGAAAACTGAAAATAAAGTGCTAAAATCTATCAATTCAAGGAATTAACAAAATAATGATTTAGGGGTGTTTGGATGTAATCAAAGCCATGGTTTTAAAAGTGTTTTTGCGGTGTACAAAGTAAATATATTGAGGAGTTTGTCTCGTTTTGAAGAAAAGTTCTTTTAAAAAGCACTTTTGGGTGCTTCCAAACACCCTTTTAGTATCTTAGGGTCGTGTCAAATAGTAAATAATCAAATTAACTCAGCATGCACTTGAGAAGTGTAAGAGCCACTAGCTCACTTCTCTGGTACCTTCCCTTGTCCCTTATAAGAATTGTCATCTGAAAAATATTAAATAATTGGGATGAGCACTAACTTCTCAGTAACCCAGAGTTCAACCATGCAGATACAACCATTACCCAAACAGTTTCATATTAGTTAGGCAAACAAATATTACAACAACTTAAATAATAGTTAGCAACATATATAACTAATTTAATAATATACTATGTCATATGTAATGGATACTTCCTCCTTTATTGCTCCATTCAACCTTATTCTGCTAGCTGAAACCATAGGCTTATACACAGTCTAGCCCATACAATGGATTGACCAAAGCTAGTCCATAGCTCCCCTCCTTAAAAGAACCAGGAGGTGTCACTGTCCCACGTTCCTCCTCTACAAACTTGGCCAGGTAAGTATTAAGGAACGGGGCCCTAAAAAGACCAACCACTTTGTGCTAAGTGGAGGTAAACCACGTAGTCATAGTTTGTCACATATATCAATATCATAAACTGCTAA